TTTTTTTTTTTTTTTTTTTTTTTTTGCTTTGAGACAGCTTGCAGCTGCTCTGAGCACAAGACTCTCAGGAGTTTTTGATGGCAGGGACTGGGTTTTGGTAAGTTTGGCTGGGATGTGACTATTGGTTAAGGATCTCTATATAAGAGGCTCTGGTACACAATAAAGGGAGGTATTCGTGTTTTAAGGATGACCTGTGTCTTCGTATGTCGGTGTGTGTTTCAATCTCCAGCCTCTTGCCCGGTTCACGAACTGTATGGTAGCGCATGGAGCATAGACGTTGTGGTGCGCTACACAGGTCCCCAGCGCTGGGGATCCATTCTACATTCAGTGCAAGTCTTTGCATTTAGTTCATCCTCTCTGGGCACAGCATGGCAGACACGCCCAGAGTTTACTTTACTAATCTCAGGTTTTCTCAGTTCACTGACACTGACAACCGAAACTAACAGTCAAAGCTAGAGACGACAGAAGACAGAACGTAGAAGTGACTGTGTCACGTCACCAAGCATCCACCGCTCAGTTAGGGACATATCTTAAGCAAACATGCCTGACTCCGAACTGCTGGCTGCACCAGGTTACCTGCCAGCTGCTGCTGCTACCACATTGCGTGTAGTCCTATAGGAACCGCTGAGACACCCAGCCAACTAAAGGAAAAGAGAGACCTGCGACAGAGCCAAAGCGTTGGGCATGCAATAAACATCTCAAGAGGGAAAAAAACTCATGATACACAGGGAACTCCAAGCATACACTTACACTTATTTAAAAAAAAATAGAAAATTTGAAGAAAAAAAGCAATCTGGAAAAACTAAATAAAGTAACTGATTGCAAATAAGAACACATTCATATAAAAACAGTATTTAAGGTTGTAAAGCAGGAAAAACATAACTAGACATACATAACAGAAAAGAAAACCTAAAGACACTGCATACAGGAAAAATAAAAATACCGATAAATATACGGTTCACGAAGGAGACAGTAGATCATATATTTTCAGAACAATATTCAAGTGCAACCAATTCCTACCCTGAGGTCAAACATGAGATTCACAGAAATTTTATACTTACCCTAAGCCACAGAAATAGTAAAAAATGAACTTTGTACGCAGGAAGAATAAAGGTCATGGAGTATTAATTTAGAGAAGCACTTTCACATAAATTACAAGAGTTACATTGTCTGTGACTTCTCTACCTAATCCATCAATATCTGAAAATACAGCCAGCTCTAAAAGGCCCTGAGGGAAAGCATTTTAGAAAGCCGGACATTTTCTTATGGTATATAAAATGATCAGTATTTTCAAAATGAAATGGCTCAGGGAGTATAAACTCCATGAGATTTCCTAGAAAACTACTTGATAATGACACATAAAATAGAGATGAGTGATTCCTAGTCTTAAAAAAAAGACTCATGGTGAACAATACATGTTTCTGTGTTTCTATGCCTTCTTCCTGAACAAATGGTGTCAAGAAGGTCGAGGATTTACCGGGCTATGCCTCCCTCATGCATTGAGCCTGTGCTCTGCTGAGACACACAGGCGACATTATGGAAGTGAAAGCCAGCGTGCCCAAAGCTTCCTCGCACAGAGGGCCAGAAGAGACAATTCAATAGGACAAGTGCCATGAGGGCGGGGCTGGGGCTACTCAGGAAATTCTTCCCTCGCCCCAGAGAGAGGGAGGACTTCGAGATGCTTTTACGGAGGCCGGTTTCTCTAGAATCTGAGTACACTAAATATTTCTGTTAGCCAAAACACACTTTCTCAGTGTTTAGTGTTATCTAATCTGTTCTGTTCCCAGAGGTATCTTATTAATGTGATCCTCTCCGCGGTTTAATCCATTTGGAAGTCAAGCTGAAAGACGTCTTGGCATTAATGTGGACACCACTGAGACCCACCTTGTGTCCATGTACCACACAGTTAATGCTGGGCTTTCATGCCCACTGTAGTTCATCATATTTCTCAGTGTGTACTTTCTCAGTAAGCTCTGCCTTCAAAAGCATTCCATAATTTAAACTGGGGACCCTCGATCCATTCAAATTAGCTACTCTGTCTTTGAAATTTATCAAACTACATAGTCATCAAAATAAGGCAAAATTGGAAAAAAGAAAAAAAAACAGAATCAGACAAAATTCTGTGTTCATGTTTTCATTTGACTTGTGAAAACCTAACTAGGCAGACACAAGCCTCAAGCGGTTAAGTGTGTGTGCTGCCAATGCAAGTATTAGTGTGTACTTGGTAGCATGTGCTTCAGCCAAAGAGGAAAATGTCCGGTCAAAGTGTCCTGTCAAAGTGCTACTCACCCAATCGATTTTATCCACATTCCAGTATTTTTTTAAATCCCGGAACTGTATTAACATTCCCTTGAGTCCCACGACAATAATGCTTGCAAGAACGCACTGCCGAGAAAAGACAGGTTGGGGAGGAAACGGGACAAAGACTTCAATGTTGGTTGTTGGATTTTTGGTTTGTTTTTTTTTTTTGTTTTTTGTTTTTTTTTTTTTTTGTAAGTAAATTGTAGAGAAAAGCTGTCACCAATTAGGTTAACGTAATGTTTGTTTAAAATTAACTTATATGTGCTTTAGGGATACAACATCAATTTTAGAAAATCATTGGTAAAACTGATCAGGTTGAAAAGAACAGATAGGAAAAAGAAAGTGAATTATCACAAGGCTGGAGGTTCCTTTTACCTGTTCTGTGTTTGAAATATGTTTGTTACAGAAATTATACATTTGTCTCATATATTTCTTCACAGGGTCCTGGCAGTAGTCACTGTTTCTCCTAGAGATGCTTATTCCCGTGAAAAGTTAACTTGAGTACTAGACAGTTATCATATGGAAACGGTGACTCTCCCAGCCCAGAGGCTAGGACTGGCCTGGTACCCGGGATCGCCGGGGAGCCCGGGGCTTATGTAGAGGTAGATGCAACCCCAGCGTGGAGGCCCTCAGAACAGAGGATGTGTCTACCCTGGGGAGATGGATTTTTGTCCTCCACACCATTTCTCCAGCCTGCACTTTCTGGAGAATTCTCTGAAAGCCTCTCTTTTTCCACCGCTCTGGATCAAACCAAGGAATTTGCACATGCTCAGTTAGTGCTCTGACGTCGAGCGACACCCCGAGTCCCGGAAGTCTACTCTTCATGAGATTATTCCTAGTTCCCACTGAGGAGTCGGAGAGCTGTCGCTCGTTCTTTCTCATGAAATGCGGTATTCTTTCCATCCTTCCAACCTTCACTTAGGTAAAATGGCTTTCAGATTTAGGGTTATTGTATTTATTCTCCCAGGATATTTAATGCACAATAATTCTAATTAAAAGTCCAGAACTATAACATAAAAAAGCAATACTGTACCATGGGCAGCCAGTACAGCAAAGGTCCAACTGCATAGATGACTATGAGGACGCAAACGCAAGATATTAGACAAGCGACCTGTAAACACAAGACAGACAACAAAGAAGGCCGTGAACTGTATTGCTGTGTCAAAGCTATGAGAATAGGGGCAAGAAACAAAATGTTGGCGTGTTGTTAGATTGCACGGACTGTTGTTATCTGTGTTCTGCCGTGAAGAGACAGCAAATGTAACAGTCGACAAACTGGCACAACCAAATAAACTCAGTGGTGAGACAGTCACACACATGTGTGAGTGCGTGCAAGCGCACGCGCACACACACACATAGAACACCATTTATTTGTACAGCAAGCATATCATAGTGATGGGTTGTTGCAAGAGGGAGACCTCTGAGGAAAGTCCTATAGCCTGACTCTACTCATTATTTTCTAGAAGGTCACGTGGGTAATAACTGAAGAATTCACAGCCTGGGGTTTTCTTCTGTTTATGATAGATTTGCACCAAAATGGTTTTCTCTCTCTCTCTCTCTCTCTCTCTCTCTCTCTCTCTCTCTCTCTCTCTCTGTGTGTGTGTGTGTGTGTGTGTGTGTGTGTGTCTGGAGTTCCTCACAAAAAAACTCTGGCAATGTAGTGGTCAGACGGAGTTGCAGGAGCAGTCTCTCTGCCAGAACCACAGATTTCACTTTATTAATCCCAAGAAGTCTTTAGTATCATGCTCTATCCCACCGAGCCTGTTGACAAAGGTCAATAGGAACCACCTGCCTCCCACAGCCATGAGAGAACCTAATTTCCCAGAAGCCGGAGTCCCTGACTCCATAAGAAACATTTGACTAAAGTGCCATCCTAAGAGGCCTTCACCGGTCCTCAAAGATACCTAAAGTATCACTATGAAGGCATCAGAGGGAATCTTTTGTGTTGGAATGGTTGAAATTTAAATTACAGGAATATTTTCAGAATCTGAAAAGGATAAGAGAAGTTTTCTCTGACAGTGCTGTCAGGGCAGCTGTAGAGACTCGGAAACCAGTCTGTTTCATATGAACTTAACACACACACACACACACACACACACACCGTAGATCTAGAAAGAACAGACAGATTACGGGGCATCCTCCAAACAGCAGCACAAAGCAAATGTGGGGAACTCAAAGCCACTGTGGTAAAAGACACTAGACACAAAAGATACAATTCTGGACCAAAGACAATCTTTAAAAGAGAAAAAGTATAGGATGCCAGGGGATGGGGGCAGGCACTAAAAATTAAATATAATTAGACATGAGGGAATGCCCATTTTGAATGGTAGAAATATTTTACACATTGATTTTGTGATTATACAAAATTTAATGTCTTGATCGGTGAGCTTTACACATAAAACGTGATAGTGTTTACGAGAGCTAGTAAGCTTTATAAGACCGATTCTAAAGAGAGACATTGAAAGCCACACAAACACACCTGGGGCCAGCCAGCCTGGACGCTTGTCTTGGACTTGGGTCAGTAGGAGGAGAGGTCCCAAAATAGAAGCAGGTAGATGACAGCTCACCAGACATTCTCATAGATTACAAGTAGACACTCGTTTAAAGGGATAGGAAAATACACTAAGTGCCAAGCTTTACTCGGGTAAGAAGTCAATGCTTTCAATCCCACACTTTCCATCTGAAGCACAGGGAGACTGGTGCCTCATCCAAGGTCAGGGAGCAAGGGAGGTGAAAGGCCACGTGAAGCCTGCACTGGATCCACATCCTTACAATTTGGGGGTTTTGTTTTGTTTTGTTTTTGTTGGTTGGGCAGTTTCTTTCCCTTTCTCTGGATTGTCTTTTCATTCAGTCCATTGTGTATATATTAACCACTCAAAAATATGTGATCACTTAGAGAATATCAACCCCATAATTTTTAAACTTTATTTATGTTACTTGTATGGGTGTTTCGTCTGGATATATGTTTATGCATTGTGTACCTGGTGCCTGTGGAGGCCAGACGAGGGTGTCAGATCCTGTAGAGCTGGACTTACAGATAGCTGCCATCAGGTGGGTGATAGGTATTGAACCCTGGTCCTCTGGAGGAGCCACCAGTGTTCTAAGTGGCTGCGCCATCTCTCCAGCCCAACGCCTTATTGTAACGTGAAAGTTGAATACAACACAAGCCGACACGTTTGGGAAATTCTTGTAGCTTGTCAGCAATTGCTAATGGTGGGAAAGTGGGGGGGGTCCCTCTCTTTCCCTGTCTCCCACTCAGTCCTCTCTCTATAGGAGATTAAACGGCAATCTTATTTCTAATAGTTTTTAAATACTGATAACCTTATTGAGAATAAGCCCAATGCACAGATGTTGGACTTCCAAAGATTTGCTTACTTTTTGAGCTCTGTTTCATTTACTGGCAATGTGCCCTTTTGTTTTCCCCTTGAACTGGACTAGGCCAGTATCACTCTTCCAGTTTTAGGTATTGTCTCAGATTTAAAGTGGAGTATTTGCTTCCTAGCACGGGCAATGGAGATTTCACGAACACGTAATCATTTCGGTCTGGCATTGTTCAAAGTCTTGCCACAAGGTTTTCAGAGCTAATTTTTTAAAGTCCCTGGCAATCACTAAGGATGTTATATGAACTACACGGCAACTAAATAATAGTAAGCAAAAGGCACCTCCTTGAGGCTCTTCACGAAAAGTATTCCATTTGTCTCTTTGTCACGTGAGAACAGAAACAGAGCATAAGTAAGTCCTCAATACATTTTAGAAAGATTAGGTTATAGCCAGGCTGTGGTGGTGCATGGCTTTAACCCCAGCACTCGGGAGGCTGAGGCAAGCGATCTCTGTGAGTTCGAGGCCAGCCTGGTCTACAGAGCAAGTTCTAGGACAGGCTCCGAAGCTACTGAGAAACTCTGTCTCATAAATAAACACAAAAACTAAAAAAGAAAGAAAGAGAGAAAAATTTAGGTTATAAATGCTGAAGGCAAGTGTTTGCATCCTTACCGTCCACAAGCCAGTTATCGCCCAGGTATTTTCCCCTCCGAACCTTCCATGTCATGCTGACTAAATGCCTCGTGATAATTTTTGTTTTAAAATTTCCAGCAGTCATATCTAAGAGCTAAGTCTGCATGAAAGTTAATGAAATCTTTATTTTCTTCACATTTTATTACAGGGTTATAAGCATATAAGTGTACATATGTAAACACTACACATAAATTTTGTTTCAGAGGTGTACATATGTAAACACTACACATAAATTTTGTTTCAGAGGGAATGACGCACAGCATTCATCTGTGCCATCAATCTCGGTAGCGCCATTATCTATCGCTCATGACTGACAAAGATGACCAGTAAAGGCATCAGTGTCCTCATACATACACGATACTTTGCTTCCGGAGCAGAGGTCAAATGATGCACAGATTTATTTATGGGAAGTGGTGGAATTGAAAAAAGATAGGAAAGGGCAGGAAGTAAGGATAAGAGGCAGGGCACTGGGCAACACAGCTAAATTGAGAAGGCCTTGAAGAAGATGCAAGCATTGAGCCAACTTCTGGTAAAACAAAAGGAGCACGGTTTTGCAAATTAGAGCCCAGAGGCAATCATAGCTTTGCAGGAAAGCCTGCCAGCTGCTGTTTTCAGTTGTGGCTGCACAGCCTCTGCAGCAGATGCTGTCTGGCTTCCCTTGTGGCTCTGTGATCCCCCTGAAGCCCCTGAGAAGCACGGATGCACCTCCGCTGTCGGAAGTGAAGAGAAGCGTGCAGGAGAGAGTCAGGGGACACCGAGCTCCTGCCCAGAGTTAAGGTTTCAGTTCAGAAAGGAGGGAAGTCAGACACAGTATCCATGTGTGCTGTTTGTCTAACTTTCCCCAAGGCTGGTCTTAGATCCACAGGCTTTGGGCGTCCTGTCTAATGGAGGGCGCAGCTGAGAGAATTCCCACATACGGAGGGTGAATCTGTGTCTGTGTCTTTGATCACAGCACTTGCTACTAAATGATCAGTATCTTTTGTTATTTCTTTTCAAATAGTTTAATTAGTTTTTCTGAGACACCCAAGTCTTTATCCTCCACTCACTCACATAAAACAGCCCTGGATTCCCTGCCAATCACCACCATGTTAGCTCTGAAGTGTTTGAAGTGTGTCTAGTCCATATTGAGGTCAGCTTGCACATGCAAAATATACACCAGATCCCCAAACTTTATTGGAGAAACATGCACAAGGTATTGTGTGTAGTTCTGTAATCCATATTGAAATTATCATAACTTTATCCTATCAGGTAAGTTAAAGTATATTAAAATCAGTTTTTATAGGTTTTCTTTTTTTAGATTCAGACACTAAATAAATTACTTGGGTATCTCATATTATATTTCTGTTGAGCAGGACTTCTCTCAAGTACGTGATCAAATATCTGATTTTAAATAGAAGTTTTCCAGCAACAATGCTATAATCTATTTAAGTTTTATTAATGACAACACAAACTGCCTTTGGTCTGTCTGATCAACTCTCACAGTTGACAATGGGGTTCTCAAGGGTGAACTATTGCAAACTGGATCCCTGGGCTGGTGAGATAGCTTAGTTTGTAAAGTGCTTGGCATGGGAACACCAGAACTGAGGTTTTGAGCCCCAGAACCCACACAGATTAAACTAGACATGGTAACACATACTTATAATTCCAGTGGTGGGGGAGGAGGAAGGTGGATCCCAGGGGCTCACTAGCCAGACAACCTAGCCTGCTTTGCAAGACGGAGGCCAAAGAGGGCCCTGTCTCTAAAAAATAAGGTGAAAGGCGCCCACGGAATGACACCAAGGTTGAGTTCTGGTCTCTTCACACACATTTGCATGTATACCTGCAAACACACATGCATTTACATACACATGGACATGGACAACCTGCAAACACACAGAAAGGCACGCAGGCAGGCAAAGCTGAGAAGATTTGTCTAAGAAAGCACTAGGTGGGAAGGAAAAATCAGCTCCTTTCCCGGCCGTTCTGGCGCTCCTGAGATAGATGCAGGTGAATCCCTGTGAGTTTGAGGCCAGCTGGGACTGTTACATAGGGAAACCCTGTCTCGAAAAACCAAAAAAAAAAAAAAAAAATCAGCTCCTGAACCGAGCAAAGCCTTCTGTGGAATGGAAGGAAGAAATAAAATGATGGTGTTTTTCTCTTGTCAGGAAGGTCACTGTACTGCCTTTGTCTGTAGAGCTGGGGACCGAATCCTGTGTGTGGCAGAAAGTGCGCTATTATTAACTATGCCTCCAGCCTTCAGCAGGTAACTACACAAAAATATCTCCGTGAAGTGTTCCTGTGAGAACACGGAAACTGTGGCAGGTGTTACAGTAATTAACAAGGGTAACGTGATTATCACCTGCTCTTGGAGGAGTCGTAATTAGATAAAAAGGTGAAAGGATTTTGGTGCTCCAGGTTAATTCAGTGGGTCTGTGTCCTAGCGCTGAGGAGAGGCAGGCAGGCCGTTGATGAAGGGCCTGCGCTGGGAAATCTTGACCTGTGGGGAAAGGCTTGCCCGGGTGAGTAGCTGCGTGCTGGGTCTCCCCAGGAAAAGTTTTGTCACACAGCATCTGGGACAATGACTTCCTTCAGCCACCTTTCCCTCAACTTTCTCACCTAGAAACTGAAACTGAGAGCAAGTTTACATCTTTCCCCAGGGGCCTAAAGGACCGAGTCTGTTTATATAAACAGAAAGGCACGCAATGCCGCACATGCAAGTCAGTATTGTTTGCACCGCCATCCGTACCGGCCTCTCCATCACCACCATCCTGCCACTGTGCAGTGTCCTGCCTAGAGCAGGTCAGGCTTGCAAAAAAGTGAATCGACTTGAGTTCCTAAAATATAAACAATGTGTAAAACAATGGTTTCATTAAAACCCCTCCAAATCTTCACATATAGAGAAAGGTACTTTGGCACATTTGCTAATTGCCATACATGGAATGCTGGTGTCATGAACAGATTCTGCATAGGCTTGGTTTTATTTTATTTTAAGGAAGTGAGCAAAATATAAAGAAAGTCACCCAGACTGTTTAGGTTAACCGAGACACCACTAGAGGGAGCCCTGGCTTCAAAATTGCCGCTAATGAAGCTGCCAGGAGTGTAGAATTCAGCGGTTTGCTCCTTTAATCACGGAGCCTGTGGGAAGCCCTAATGGGAAAAAAAACGCGGGTGAGGGGTGGGGTGGGAAAGAAGAAGCAGGAGAGGAAAAAGTTGTTTCTTAAAAGCTGCTTCGAAAATACAAATTAGCAACATTTTCAAAGCTGGGTACCTCTCTCTCCTACTGAGACGGGCAGCGGTGGAGGCGGGAGGAGGGGGGTTGGCGGGGGAGTTGACGGTCCTGTGCACAGTCCCGCTTTCCCTGCAGGGGAGGTGTTACCTGTGTCTTTGCTCCTGTGCTGTACAGTCCAGCCGTCCTTCCCATGGCAGCAGCACTTGGGATACAGAAGAAAAATGAAGGGATCACATTGCTGAGGCCGTGGGCCAGAAATTCCTGAAAGATTAGTTATGGGAGAATAGAACATGTCTTTATCACAATCCCCTTCTATGGTCCCAGGTCCAGTTTGTCAGGGAGTGGAGCCTGTTTATGTTCAGTTCCTCATCAGCTGAGATGTCACTGTTTACAATAAAAATCACTAATGTCCATTGACGGTTACTTTCCTCCAAAGCTGTTCTGAGCGCGTCCCTCTTTCAATTCTTACAACCAACACGTGAGGAAATTGTATTTATTCATAACTTCCATATTCTAAGTCATCCCAGTTGGGCTTCTATTCCCACCCTTTCCTCAACGACCTCTGCCCAACGGCTACGTCTTATCTTACCTGTATAAAGAAGCATTGGCCACAGTTGCTTAGTCCGTCCTTCTTAAAAGGTCCCTTCGGTAGGCGTCTAGGACCTCACACTCCAAGCCTGTCTTTAGATCTCAGTCTGTCTGTCACCTGTCTGTTCCCTTTGTCACCTAACCAATCGCAAACGTAGGACTATTTCTCTTGTGTATCTACCTCTTACCTACGCAAATATAGACTGGTAACTCCCACCCTGACAGCGCAGAGTCCTCTCCTGAACTTCAGACTCCTCTATCCAACCTGTTATCTGCCGTCCGCATCTGACAGCTAACGGGAACTCAGTAACTGGTCCACAGGGTTCTCCCATGCCCATCACATCCTCCCAGGTCTAGTCCCAGACTGTACCCTCATCCACGACTCTTCCCAGAAACTCCATATGCAGTTCAGTGCACAGCCACAGGCGCCTCTCCCCCACAGGGCCTGCTCCAGCCATCGTGTTTCCACTGGGTAAACGGAAACCCCTCCTAACACCTTGCCTGCGCCTCTTGGGATCAGTGACTGTAAACAATCTCTGGCCTCAGAGAGATGTGGTTCTGACCAGCAAATGTAGATAGCGAATAGACAGTTATAAAGCAGGCTGGGAAGGGTGCAGAGAGGCCTGGTCCACAGAAGTCCTGTGACGTGAGGATGTGGATGACGAAGTTGTACGGACTTGTGGAGGGGAGGGGGTAGGAGTCACAGGAAATAGAGCCACGAGTGCAAATTCCCCCAGCCAGAATCCTGGAGTTCTAAGGAGAAATGCAAAGTGTGGCTCCGACATTCACAAGAGACCAGATATGGAAAGGGACCCTGCAGACAGACAGCCTCATCACCATGGTAGTGAGGTCTGTGAGCTGAGCATGAGAGCCGGGAGTTCCTGCGGATGAAAGCATTCATCTGTGCATGTCACTGTTTTATCCTTGGACCTATTGTAGGACCTAATGCACACATATCCAGAGAGTCATATGATCTCATATGAAGTCACATGATCTCCGTGTGAGTTCTGCGTACAGGTGAGAATGTGGGGCCTTGGGGCATGGAAAGGACACTGGGGAAAAGAGGGTCAGTGAACAAGAACGAATGCCCTCTCAGGTATGTCGGAACAGACTTCCCACCCTGTAGGGTCTTAATGTTAGTGTCCTACTTTCGGATCCCTAAGCATTCAAAGGTATCTATCATGAAATGATAAATAGGCTTGGATTCTCTCCTAAAACCAGATAAAAGAACATGAAGGTGCACGCCTCTAACAATGTATTTTAAGGGTCAGTAAGATGACTCAGCAGGTGAAGGCACTGGCTACAAAACCCGATGATCTCAGTTCAATCCCAGGACCCACACAGTGGAGCCAAGAATTGAACCCTGGAGGTTGCCCTCTGACGCACACAGATAAACAGAGGGAATGAGCAAATCGATGGAGTGTAAACTGTCAAAGTTGGCCTCCCCGCCTCCTTCTCAGAGGCTTGCTGAATTGTTCTGCCCATTCTTTCTACACATTCAGAAATGTATTTTCAAACATTTGACATTTTCAGTATCTAAGAGTCTAGAGAAGAGTAACACACTGGGTCCACAGGGATAGGGGGCGCACTCCACCTGGTTGTCATCCACTGAATATTTGAACTTCTTGGCAGACCCTTGAGCAAGAGCCAGTGAGGCCACGTAGCCTACAAGCGCAACTCCGAAAGCTTCAGTGAGCACTGCATTGAGGATGTTCATCGGTGGAGCACGGGGCAGAGGAATCCTAGTAAGAGAAAGACTGAATTGAAGCTGTGGGCCTTCCTAGTAGTTCTGTACAACTTGCCATGAATCCCACTGCAGTACTGTTTCTGAAGGTTACAGGGAATACATGAAAGTCCCAAGGGAAAAACTAAGCCTTCTTTTCCAGAGAAGCCCTGTGTTTTCACCATTATTTAGCAGAAAAGCAAAATTGTAGGAAACACCACAGGGAGAGCCCTGTGCATTTAACTTGCATTCCTACCCAGGGAATTCAGGTCATAGCACAGATATTCTGACTTGACAAAAGTTTCTTGTAGAAAACAAAAGCTATCTGGGTCTTCTTTTCATTTGAACTTTTCCAAATATTTATTTGGCTGGCGCTGGAGCTGTGTTTGCTCCTGTGAATGCTGCAGAGTTTCAGGCAAACACTAGTTTACTCTACCGTTGGCTAGACTCCAAATATGCCGTTGACTTCATTACGTTAATTACATTTTTAACTCCATCTTTTCATGAGACAGTTAATCACGGCTTACACGAACTGAAGAAACTATGTGGGAAGATCTCATCTACTCTCTATTGCAAAAGAGACCACACTTAGCTTCATTTCAAAGAAGTCTTTAAAACATTTCTCAGATAATACCCAGCCATTACGTCTATTGTCCCTTGAAAACCATGGAAGCCAAATGACCACTTACGTATTCCTTGTCCTTTTGGGAGACTTCCCCCTAAAGGATCTTTGTCATAAAAAGTAGAAGAAAGGGGGAAGTGTCATCTCATACTGGCTGGTGTCTTGCTATCTAGTGTGCGAGTAGAATGTGACTTCTTTCTTGTTACCTGTTTCACTCCGTTTCCCCAACAACCCCACATCAAGTACACTGCACCCAAGCAGGGATGAGGAAATGTTTGGAAGAAGGTTACAAGAACAGCTGAGCTGGGGTTCGCTCTCAGCTCTTGGCTTTCAAAGCCATTTTTTTTTTTCAGTTGCTTAAGAGGGTTTCTGAAAAGAGAATTCAGTCAGGGTGATCAAGAATGGATGGAGGACAGCCATGAAGGTTTGTCACCCATTCAAACTACCCCTTATTGCCAAAACATTGCTATGACTACACAGCCTAAGATACATATTATACGAAACATGAAATGAAGAAATGGAACTTGTATTTCATTCAGGTTAAATGTGATTGATAACAATGGGACTAAAGAAGAATCAATGAGTTGGCTTTCAAAGGAAAAGCAGAGGAACCTTCAGGAAAGTAGAGTTGATTGAAGAAACCCTCCTTTACCTGCATCTACACAGGCCAGCAAACACGGGATTTCTTCAAAAGCATTCTTTTCTCCAGTTTCTGAGACTTTTTCTACTATTTCTTTGTTTTAAGGAGAATAAAAGTAAAATATAGAAGACCCCAAACTTATCCTTGTCTGCTTTATACAGCCTATAAAAAGGAGACTAATCCCTAAGGTTTTAATTTTTCTCTACTATATCTTGTCAGCCATTCTTTGGAAGGTCCTCCATCCTGTTACTATGTTACACCTGTGAAACATCCTTTTGAAATCTGGAGGAAAACTAGAGAGCCAGGTCAGCCCTACTTTGCCCTCCTCTACAACTCTCTACTCCGACCTGTGGGCTTCCATTTCCACGGGATGCTTGTTTACATTAATCATAACTTAAGTGAAGTAAAAATGACCACAAGAACATATGTGGCTGAAAATTTAAACTGACCCAAGTCCAGGAGTTTGCAAATTTAGCAACTTCCATTATTTTATAGCCAAATGTTTGCAAATACTTTTGGCGTCTTTTACTTGAAGCAATGCTGTGTAAAATAATTACAGTAGCTCATTGAATAACAGGTTAGCTTATTACCTAGAAAATTACTATTTTTCCACATGTTGGGTTTGTCATTTATAATAAAAATTAATTAGAATTCTGCCTCATACAGCCACAAAAAGAAATGAAATCCATACGTATCCAGGTCCAGGCCTTTGAACATCAAAAAAAAAAAAAAAACACTCAGATAAACACGTATTAAAAGAGAGGCTACATTACCCCTTTGGAATGTGTCCAACAACTTCTAGTCCATATGTGTTTTCCATGTTGGTACAATAGCAAGCAAATGAGGCAGCAATGATCTGTGTAGTTCCATTCGGGAACAAAAAAAGAAAGACATTTAAAAGTGTGTGCGTGTTATTAGAGGGCTTCCAAGTGCCTATGATCACTTAAAAATATATATTATATGTCCCAGAATTACTATTTATTAATTAAATACTAAGAGTTAAGCCAGGAGTGGTGTTGCATGTCAGTAATCCTAGCAGACAGGATGCCAAAACAAGAGCATTTCCAGTTTGAGGGCAGCATGGATTATACAGTAAGGTCCTGGAAAAAATAAAAATAAAATAAAAACATGGGGGAGATGGATAAAGAGAAAATGGTTAACAGGCACACGGTGAACTTGGCTAGGAAGCATTAACTTCTGATGTCTTGGAACACAGTTCAATAAATATCTTCCATTGATAATGATTAACCATGTATTTTAAAATCCCTAGTAAGAGAATGCAAAATAACCAAGACAATGGATATGCCAATGATTCTGATCTGATAATTAAATTGTAAACAGTGTCTCACTGAGCTAATTAGTATATGCAGTTACCAATCAGGAGGCAAGTACAATTCTAAAATAGACTTCTTAAACTCAGGTGCTCTTCTCAGTTTTCAGGGTATAGTATGTACAGTCTCATGGTTTTTTTCAACACGCTGCTTAGTACCCACCCAATTATGTCCAATTTTGAAGGCACAAAAGACACAAAATATAGTGGTGTGTGTGTGCGTGTCTGTGTGTGTGAAGCACTGCATTTCAACCTACTTTTCTCTCATGACATGAAGAGGTCTTTGTGAGAACATTCTCGCTCTGTTAGTAACGAATGTTGATCTATAGCCTCTTTATTTTTTTTTTAATTTGAGGTTTTGTCTCTTTCATGAAGTAAAACATGCCACTTCCCAGTCTGATGACTTTCATATAGCCCTCAAGGAGGCTCAGATATCTTACTTAAATGTTATTGAGATATTCAAGCAAGGTCACTTGTTGGGTCTATAGTCATAGTCAGTATGTCTACGTGTGTGGGTGTGTTACATGTGTGCATACATATTTGCCTCTGTTGTGGCACATGTCTGCATGTGTGCAAACGCACATGGATTCACAAACACGTAGAGGACCAAAGTTGATGTTTTTTGCAGTTCCTCCTTATTCCTTGAGATAGGGTCTCTCAGTTGAGCCCAGAGCTCCTCTGTATGTCTAGTCTTGATTGTCAATTTGTCCTGGGGATCCCCTATTACCACCTTCCAGTGCTGAAAATGCAGGTAGTCTGCCTTGCTTGAGTGGCATTTCTAGGAGTCCGGGATATACGACTCTAGTTCTCACACTTACACACTTAACCAATGAGCTATGTCCTCTGCCCCAAAACCATCTTTAAGCTGATACCAGAGCTAGGTCAGCCTCTGCCGTATTGGCCACGCCCTTGAGAGTCTCCCACCCATTTTCAGATTTTGTCATCCACTAGTGTTTTTAGTAGCTACGGGATTTCGAGGTTGTCTGACCTGAGGTCTCTCTTTACAGTATGTGAATTCCTGTCCCCTGAGAACATAAGCTGAGAATTTAAGGTAGAGATCTTAGGTTGATTTGAAGAGATGTTGGTGATCATAATTTATGTCAGTTATTTGGACCTGTTACAATATACTTTCATAACCCACTGTGTTTGGCTGTGGTCAAATTATATTTGAGATCCTAAATACATGAGGCAAATAATGCTATTAAGTTGGGCTACTATAAGAATAACCATTGGGGGAATGTAAAATCTAGTTTTATCACCTAAAATGATACTTGTGAAATTTTCTGTGGACAAATACAAACGAACCAATAAAAAAACAGTTTGTAATGATTCATGTTCTTACGATGAACGCATCAGTCATTTATTTACAGTGCAAGTTTCCCACAATCATGGCCATAAAATAAAAGCATAACAAAATTACATGATCAAAGAAGGAGCATCTAACAATCAATGCTCAATAATACATAGCAACTTCTGTAGTCATGTTCCTAACTATGTCTTTGGTTGATGTTTGAACTTATAACTTTCTAAAACATCAAATGAACTTAAAAAGCAAGATGCTATTTTGGATTTTAAAAAGAAAAGGCATGGTTAAACTATACAAATATTAATGTGATATAATAGTAATCTTTAAATTGCTGAAATGGTCACTGAGACAGCAGCTGATTCTTTGCTCTATTTCTCTGACATGATTCAGCTTCTTCATCAGTTCCTCTGTAGTACTTTGATGTGGGATTTCCCTCTGTATTCTGTGATTACATTGAATGTCCACTTCATTGGTGTCAAGAATATCATCCATTTTAGAATGATCCTTACAAGTTTTCTAGAGAGTGCCAGTTGCTTTATGACTATATTAGGGGCCTGTTTCCCTACATTATGTTTCAGTCTTGGTTTTATAAAACTTTTAATACAGCTTTCTAAGATGCAATAGGCATTTCTTAACTTCTCCAGAACTTTGAGATAAAATGGCATGGATCTTGCTCTAAAAATTTCAATCAATGAAGTTATTTAGATACTATTTGTAATATACATAAAAATCCAAGGACCATTTAGAGTTCTTTAATGTAAACTGTGGTCACATCAATGTGATATTTCATTAAGTGCTCCCAGGAGAGGCTCTTAAAACTTCAGTCTTTAGAAGCAAGATATGATGTATTTTTTCAGCCACAAATATATTTTAAAGTACCAGCCTGGGCAAATGAAAATCCTGAATATCTTTTCAGACAGGTAAAATGAGTTCAGTAACAGGAAAATCAACAAACTTCCCAATCACTAATGAGAATTTTCTAGATAACAGCTCTATGTGTGTCACAGAGGTTTCAAGGCAATAGCATAGGGTATCATATTTTATTGTTTTGCATAAGATCATACCCAATATCATTTGAGACTCATTCTTACACATGTCTCTTATGAGATCTCAGGAGATATGTCCTCTTATTTTTATAAAAAATTAAAAGCATATGAGAAATGCTGTATGAATTGAAAACATATGCCCTTCCTTTTTAAAATTACTGACTCAAAATGTTTCTTACGTTAATGTATATCCATGCAAATTAGTCTTTCATTAATGAGACACCGGAACGGCTGTGGGTTACTGTTGAAAATATAGCAAGCATCTGCAGACTTACCCCCTCCCCCCGCCAGAAACAACTAAGTGTTATTCATTGCATACTTACCAAAACTAAGTCGACAGGAAGAACAACTTTAATTTTTCTCTTAAACTGTTCATTCAGCTCTTTAACGAGAACAAGGACAACAATGCTCAGCAAGGATAAGAGCAGCGCCTCCAGCTGGACAGACTTGATGTTCTCGAAAACATAGGCATAAATCTGCAGGAACGAGAAAGGAGCAAAATCGGGGTTGCCCACAATACACCAGAATGCAAATATGGCCATAAATTAACTCCATGATGCTGTATTTAAAAGTCCTAATGCCCAGAGGATGGAAAGGTAGGAAGGAGGAAAAGGGCTGGAAGGGGAAAAGCCATGTTTTCATGCATAAATTTCTTTGTCCTTGATTCTTCCATCCAACTCAGGTCAGTCTCTTCCTACACATGACACTGTTAAAGAGAACGATGCCCCTGGCTCCTTCCTTGACACATGAATGGGCAAAGAGGCACCCACCTTTCGAATCCCACCACCCTTCTAAGTTTAACAGGAACACACACACACACACACACACACACACACACGTCAAGAGCTGGTATTTAACCGACATCAGATGCTTGCCTCACTATAATCTATCATGTTCTCAGTCACTCAGCATTTGTTAGCTTATCAGCACATATGTAAGGCAGTGCTTAGGTTGACAATGATGAGCAATTTAGAAAGAGCCTGAGTATTCATACACTCCACTATAGAGTATAGGGATCACTACTAATTCAATCAGTTAATACAGCATGATGGTAATAACACAGATTGGATATCTGAAGTATATTACTGAATGTGTGAAAAATGATGGTTGCCCTTCCAAAACCAGTAAGCGGGAACTGAACAGGCTACAGATAGGAGGAGGTGGAGGAAAAAGTCTGTGGAAGTATTTTACATCAAGGTCACATTTAAAGAGTCAGAACATAGGCTATAAGGAAAGCAATGCATGATTTCTGGAAATGTATGCTCAAGAAGCTAATACAGGACTGGGGAGATGGCTCTGATGACTCAGCATTCAACAGCCCAGACCCACATCAAAAAGCCTGAGCAATGGCAAGTGTTTATCAGCTGCACACCGGAAGAGGTGGACCAGAAGATCTCAGGGGCACACTGGACAGCCAGCCTACACACGTCTCTGAGCTCCAGATTCCGTGAGACCCTGCCTCAAAAAATGAGGCAGAGAACAATTAAAGAAGACCCTGATACTGACCCCCAGATGCCTGTACACTCACCACACACACACACACACCAACACGTTCACACATATGCTACCATCAAACTATTTGTGACCATGAAGAAGTTACGATAATAACACATTAATATTAGATTATCAATGTTGCTAATCTCAGATGGCAGATAAATAAATTTAGAGTAAAGTCAAGGAAACAAATAACATTAAAGCCTTCATAAAGTTGAGGCCTTGTATTTATTCAATTAAGTGCCAAAAAACATTTAACTCAATAATTTAGAGTCTTGTGAGTATCTGCCTAAATGCCAGGTCAACTTGCATAGACAGAGGACATATTTTGAGGAATCCCAAATTATGTGTGAAGGAGAGAAAAAAAATAACTAACTTAAATCTAACCTTTGGTCCTATATAAACTTTTGATGTTAAGCAACCTAATTTGAAAATTGTTTTTAAATTGGACTTTGTGTGTATACAGACTAATGTTTATCTTCCACCTTCTTGGACATACCTCTGAATTGTACATATTGAATGGTCACTAACTTTCTCATAATTCTGACAAAGAAAATGTAGTGAGCCTTCGCTTGGAGAAAGCAACTCGGTTAATGTCAGGTAGTTTGAACTTTTTTTTTTTTTTGATTTTTACCAGCTATAATTTTTGTACATTAGTGTTTAAAATAGCAAAGAACAGCAATGTTCTTCTGCTTACATAGCATTAGGGACTTTTGTTAGTATGCTTACATTTACAGGATGAGGAGAAGAGTGACCAACAGCAGATTCAATACTTTAGTCTCTCATTCATACATACGAAGTGCTAACTGGAAAGTAAACAATTTAATTAACACACCCAACTAGAGCACATGTCCCCACAGCACATCATTTCAGTGTCCCACGTAAGGAAACTAAACAATAAGGAGGGGGTGGGTACAACTCGGCAGCAGAGCACCTCTATCTTGTGTAACTTAGGGTTCAATATGCAACAGTGTCAAAAAAATGGTCTTCAGGAAACCTGACCAGACACTGGGAAGAGAGGTTGGGATTCTGAAAGGAGAATTACAATTATTGGTATGTGGAGAGAAAAAAATTTTCTTCACATCTCAGTGTTTACTATTTTCCCCAAACTGGCGGAAACACGGCATCATCTAATACATCAAACTTTGGTCAAGGAACACTAGAGACACCCATTTCATTTCAACAATGAACTGTCAGGGACTGCTCTGTTCCCTTCAACAACCAAGTGAAGGAAAAAAGACACTCCCTAAAGTCTTAACATTTTTGCTTAAATAGCTATAAATTGTGTTTTCTAACCTATATCCAGGGCCTTTTGAATACAATGAATGGATTTTAAAATGAAGGCACAACAACATACTTTATATTTACAATGGCTTATGACAGATACAATATCTGAAAATAATTTCTAGTTTTGTTTATTATTGCTATTTAGTCAAGAAAAGATTAACACTTTACAAGAAATGAATTTCAGCATATGCCATATAGATATGATTTTTGAACTTTAACTCACAGATGAAGCCATAATAAAACTAATGATAATCATAATAATAATGACGACAATCACAAACCATCCACTGTGAAATCAGATACATTTAGGAATGCATCATAGAACATGGAGCAGGTAGTTTTGCTTCTTACTGCTCAACACTGCTCAACACTGCTCAACATGGCTTCATGAGAAACAGAGCATGCTTTTTCTGCCACTACGCACTGTAAATGAAAATCATTCGCAGCGCCCCTAGTAGCGACAGAAATCCAGTCAGGAGGCTGTAAGATGGCTCCGTGATTAAGAGTACTGATTGCCTTCCAGAGGTTTGATCCCCAGCACCCACTTGGCAGCTGGCAACTATAAACTCCAGTTTCAGGGGATCCAATGCCCTCTCCTGGCCACTACAGACACTGCGGGTGCATGGTGCACAGATAAACACTCAAAACATCCATGAACATAAAATCAAAATTGAACTAAATCAATTTTTAAAATTTTTTAAGAAATATAGTTTTCCTCGGTGTGATATATCTCAATGAGGATGGGAGCAAACAAGAGTGTCGAGAAATTCTCTCAAAATACATGTCTCTGTCCAGTGGTTTGAGGGTAATTGAGAATAATACTGAGATTATTCATCCAAGAGCAAATCATTCAAATGTCTTAAAGCTCTGCGTTATTCCTTATGCCTTTCCCCCACGAGATTTAAAGTATGCCATGACAATGAGGCTCCCAATCCATACCAGATTGTTATGTGATGCGCACTTGGAGAACATGTGTTTGCAGTCATACAAATGACCACCCCAGAATGAGAGGAATGAGAGCCCCCCTCTGGGATTTTATTGTCTGTCTGGATTAAACTACAGCTCGTCAAACAAAGCATGTCTCACAAAGATTCTGCAGAAAAGCATGGGGGTGGGTGGACAAGGACTCATTAAAATAAGAACACAGGCATGAAGAACATAATAGGAGAACAGGCTGGGAGGAGTCCTAATGACTGTCATGTGGACCCACTGAGAGAAGTCACAAGCTACATCAGCTTACGGGATATGGGTGACACAGGCAGACCTGCAGAGCTGGAGGTAAGGACAAACGCAAGCATTTCTATGTGTTCACTTAGTGCTCTGGGTATCCTAAACACACGCTAAACGCCTTTAAACTCTAGTCTGGTTGTCTTGACACGCTGGTACACACTCACTAGACTACTTAAAATCTCCTATAGGGGTCATCATTGACCTCTCAGAGGTCAGAGGAGCAACAGCAATGCTGTACAGACTCATAGCCAAGTTTGTAGAACTGCCTGATCAACTTAATAAACAAGCTCGGAGCTTCTGGAACTATAATACTATAGTTATAGTTATAATACTATTGTTATAGGGCATATATGGAAATCAATATATACATAAACAAATCCACTTTGAGACAGTTCAAAGAATGAAAAATACATACTCATATCCATTGCTACATTTAATTTAAATAGACGTCATGTTTTTATGAAACACTACATAGGTACTTTTACACATACAAACACACACGTTTTTAACTGAGTTGGCCATTTTTTATAAGTTTGTCTATTTTTTCAGTGATGGCTTCTCAACTCCTTGAAAAGTATTTGAAAGAAGGTGACACTGTCGAGCAAACTAACATTCTTTTCTGATATGGCAAAAGCAAAAATAAGCCTCTGGATGGCATAGAGTGGAACATGAGACTCTGAAAGAGGAAAGGCCGGGTTTATATAAATGCCTTCTTTCCTCACTGTGGAGACTGGGGCTAAGCCCCTGAGGGTGGGTCTGTAGCGGGAGCTGCATCCACTCGCGCTTACTGAGGTTCTAGTTTGTGGGAAGCAATGAGATCAATGCTACTGCTACCAGCATAGAAAATTCCAAGTAACCTGCCTTTGGTGTGGTCGATCTGATCTAAATGATCAGATGTTTAGTATCAAATTTTCTAGGAATGAATCAAAACTGAAGGCAGAAAAGGCTGACAGTGTTAGTTAACAAAAAAGCCAAAGGCCTCCCTGAAGTCACCCCCAAACAGTTGTTTTTCTCTGCGCAAGAGTGACCGAGGATCTAAGACCCTGCATAGAGACACACTCATGCAGGGAGAGAATTCCAGGATGTCCACCTACAAAGCTCGTGACACACAACACAGATCTCATGCTTAGAAAATATGAACAGGTGTTAAAGACATAATGGACTGTTTCTTCAAGCCTCAGCTAACTAGAAATATGTCACCCGAAGGTTTCTCCTTTCCTAACACCCTGGTTACCACAAAAAATATATAGAGAGGAGGTAAAGTTAGTTAAAATGTCTTAAAGTATGAGAACAACATTGATAATAAATCTCCATTGGTAATTCTGAACTACCTATAAAGGAACCCCAAAGAACATTTAAATACATATTTCCATGCAAAATAAAACACGTAAACCCTTTGATACTATTTACTATGCATGTGCCATCTCTGTCCTCAGGATCTGTCGTGAACAAGATTGCACTGCAC